ATTTCTTACCCTCAGAGACAATTTGTTACTATATTGTTACCAGGCGGTAGAGTTGCATAGTATCTCCGCCGGTGATAATTTTGTCAAAAAATTATTGAGAGTGTACAGGTGTTATAGGAAAACTGTTTTGAAAAATTGATTGTCAAGTAATAACAAAATTTCTTTGGATAACAAAAAGCGGGGTACATATGTGCGTACCTAATAGCTAAAAGTTGAAAACATCACAATCAATAGATATCGATTGTTACTGGTTGAATGACAGGATTGAGTCTGTTTTTTTTTGGATAAAGTATTCATCCGATCCGAATCATTCGGTTCGGTTTGGATATTTTTTGAACCGAAAGATTCGGATGGAGTGGACAAAGTATCCAAATGACTCAACTCTGGTTGAATGTTTCCTTAGATACAAAATCTTGAATCTTGATGGACGATAAAAAAAAGTATTGTGTCATATTAGTAAGAATATTTTGTATTCTTGTTAGTTATTTAGAGAAAGTAAAGAAAGTCTTATTATTTGTAGTACATATGCAGTTATATCTGTTTTTATTGACGAAATGAGGATCATATACTTTTCCGTAATTAAGTTCTACATCGACTTGAAAATACTTGCGTAAGTAGGAAATGAATTCATAGTAATAAATAATTCCTTGGACGTGGGCTTAAGTATCATACGCATGTACATATGTTTATGTGTATAGATGTATGTATGTTCAAAAGCCTGGACTTAACTTTCAGGACTTAATAATACATTCTACTTGTCTATGTTTGTAGGGTTGAATTTTAAAAGTACAATATCGTTTGTTTAATGATTTGAACGTAATAAGTCTAAATATATGTAGGAATCTTACATATGGCAATTTATGGCATATGTATTTAGTAGTTTTTTGCGTAAGAATTAGCGTAGCATTTTGTCCTCTTAATTGGCTTTTATATGATTTTTCAATTTGTATAAGAAATATATCATTGTCATTTTGGCAAAAAAATCTTGCCATGCATGTATGCACATACATAACATTTATATGTGCTTTTGAAAACTCACACTAATTTGTGGCTTGATTTGTACGTACAAACATATGTGCACAAATGAATAGTTTAATGTAATGTCACTGTGTAAGTCCGTGCTACGTACATTACGTGATGCGTATCTCCTGATTACTATGGTCCATCCAGAAAAGACGGACCATCGGCCAATGTTAATAAACCGTCGCAAACGCGCATACGGAAGTAGCTTCAGACGTACTTCACCCCAAACGGTCCCACCACAACTCGGGAACACTTAATTTCACTCTATTTCAATAAAACGATTAATTTTTGGTAAAAATCTCATTTTGCCCCGACCACACCCCCTGGCGACGAGGGGGTGTGGAACAACTCGGGAACACTTAATTTCACTCTATTTCATCTATAGATTAATTTTTTATAAAAATCTCATTTTGCCCCAACCACACCCCTGGCGCCTAGGGGGTGTGGCACAACTCCGGAACACATAATTTTACTCTATTTCACCTATAGATTAAATTGCACTAAAAATCTCATTTTGCCCCCACCACACCCGCTGGCGCCGAAGGGGTGCGGCAAAATCGGGGAAACACTCAATTTCACTTAATTTCACTTAATTTCGTTTAATTTCACTCAATTTCACTTAATTTTACCCATAGAATAAATTGCACTAAAAATCTCATTTTGCCCCAACCACACCCCCTGGGGCCGAGGGGGTGTGGCACAATCGGGGAAGCACTTAATTTCACTTAATTTCACTTAATTTCATTTAATTTCACTCAATTTCACCTAATTTTACCCATAGATTAAATTGCACTAAAAATCTCATTTTGCCCCAACCACACCCCCTGGCGCCGAGGGGGTGTGGCACAACTCCGGAACACATAATTTTACTCTATTTCACCTATAGATTAAATTGCACTAAAAATCTCATTTTGCCCCGACCACACCCCCTGTCGCCAAAGGAGGTGTGGTCCGGTTGCCCCCAAAAGTTGATAGGATCCTCCCCCTGGGGTCCTATGTATGATGGCGAAAACCGATTTCGATTATCTCGATCCGTTCTCCTGATATCCTGCTGACAGACAGACAGACAGACAGACAGACAGACAGACAAAGTCTTCACATAAAGTAGCTGAAGCTACTTAATAATATTGTAAGGCTAAATGGCCGACCTTGCCATAACTAACAACATGTAAAGTTTCAAAATTAATTGCACGGTCATTTCTTGATGGATTTTCAAAATGGTGCACGTTTTGGAAACCTTGGACCCTTGGGCGAAATATATATTTTCAAATTTTTGAAATTTGGCCCCACCCACCAGTTATCGAGGTCACAAGGTCAAAAAAATCAAAAGACATTGCCGTATTGAATTTCAAAATTCTGCAAGGGAATTCGAAATACCTGGGTACAGATTCTTGGCGGATAGTCAGGTCATCGTATCCAGCGGTTATCTGGCCGCACCCCTTCATTAGGGGTCAATGGTGGGTGTGGTCAAAGGTCAATTCCCAAGAAATACAATAGAAAAAATTCTTACCACCGTAGTTTCTGAAATTCAACGTCACCATTATTCATAAACTTCATCGTGCACCCCATCTGAATGACCTGACCTTATCGTAGACCTCATGACGACAAAGGGGTGTGGCCATCGGCGCACATGATAATGGCTTCTCAATTTGAACTGGCTATCAAAATTAAGTCATTATATGTACGTTTGTTCATATAAAGGGTAAGCACACATATTCGGTTTATTCATGTACTAGCGTATAGCCCGGCCAAGGCCGGGTTCTAGAGTTCCAGTGGGGGGTGTGCCCAAAGCGAAAAATCCGTCATACTATATTTTAAATAATTCCCAGTGGAGACTTTGTCATACTACATACATACATCAGACTGAGGGTTTGCCCAAGTCATACTGCATTTTAATTAACCTGGTCACAGTAAAATTTGATTCCCCCCTGTGGGAGTAGTTGAATAGCTAATTACTTAAATTCCCGTCGCGTGGGAGTAACTGCATAGCTAACTATTTAAATTCCCACGCTTCACGCTCCCGTTAAGTTCCATAAACCCCGTTAACTTCTACAATTAACGCCAAGCTATTGACGGATTCGGATTCAGCGTCAAAAATACATTCGAATTGATATGCGACATCACGAATAAGCCAGATTTGGACACCACGGTCACGGCGAGGTCACGGGGGCCTCGCAGGTCAAAACCATTGACGGCGTTGGATTCAGCGTCAAAAATACATTCGAATTGACATGCCACTCGCTGTGGGTAGAGTTTCTCAAACTAAAATAATTAATTAATAGTGTTTATCACGATCACTTATCATGATAACCACTATTGATGAGTGATGTATGTATGTGGGGTGTACATGTTCATGTATTCATTTATTCATGCAGTGCAGTGCATGCATGCAGTGGTTGCTCCGCTTCCTTCTTTGTCTACTGTATGGGGCAATTTGCATTGCGAAGACGGACCCAGGGACCCAGGGATCATACTAACACTTTATTAAGTAGCTTCAGCTACTTTATGTGAAGACTTTGTCTGTCTGTCTATCTGTCTGTCTGTCTGTCCGTCTGTCTGTCAGCAGGATATCAGGAGAACGGATCGAGATAATCGAAATCGGTTTTCGCCATCATACATAGGACCCCAGGGGGAGGATCCTATCAAGTTTTGGGGGCAACCGGACCACACCCCCTTTGGCGACAGGGGGTGTGGTCGGGGCAAAATGAGATTTTTAGTGCAATTTAATCTATAGGTGAAATAGAGTAAAATTATGTGTTCCGGAGTTGTGCCACACCCCCTCGGCGCCAGGGGGTGTGGTTGGGGCAAAATGAGATTTTTAGTGCAATTTAATCTATGGGTAAAATTAGGTGAAATTGAGTGAAATTAAATGAAATTAAGTGAAATTAAGTGAAATTGAGTGTTTCCCCGATTTTGCCGCACCCCTTCGGCGCCAGCGGGTGTGGTTGGGCCAAAATGAGATTTTTAGTGCAATTTAATCTATAGGTGAAATAGAGTAAAATTATGTGTTCCGGAGTTGTGCCACACCCCCTAGGCGCCAGGGGTGTGGTTGGGGCAAAATGAGATTTTTACAAAAAATTAATCGTTTTATTGAAATAGAGTGAAATTAAGTGTTCCCGAGTTGTGGTGGGACCGTTTGGGGTGAAGTACGTCTGAAGCTACTTCCGTATGCGCGTTTGCGACGGTTTATTAAGGGGTGAAAGCCCTTTATAAGATCGTTATGTCCGTCTGTCTGTCCGTCCGTCCGTCCGTCCGTCCGTCCGTCTGTCCGTAGCTCCGATAACTTTTGAACGAAAAGACATAGACACTTGAAATTTTGAACGTAAACTCCTAACGTCAATGGACAGGACGAGTTCGAAGATGGACACTGTGACATCGTCACCTGTGACGAAGACGTCGTCACAGTGACGAAAAGTGACGAAAAAGTGTCACTTGTCAGTTTTGGCATGTGACACATCATTTTTAACTAATTTTCAACGAGGAATTCGAAAATTCAGGTCATTTTGCGGTTGGACGTCACCTGTGACGATGACATCGTCACGGTGACGATGACATCGTCACGGTGACGAAAAGTGACGAAAAAGTGTCACTTGTCAGTTTTGGCATGTGACACATCATTTTTAACTAATTTTCAACGAGGAATTCGAAAATTCAGGTCATTTTGCGGTTGGACGTCACCTGTGACGATGACATCGTCACGGTGACGAAAAGTGACGAAATAGTGTCACTTGTCAGTTTTGACATGTGACACATCATTTTTAACTATTTTTCAATGTCAAATTCAATGGTGACCTCCATTTTGACCTCAGAGGTCATGTAAAGGTCATAGGACATATCTATTTCAATTTCAACTGAAATTTAACCCCGAATTCAATGGTGACCTCCATTTTGACCTCAGAGGTCATATAAAGGTCACATAAGGGTTATCAACTGTTAAATTTGACACAAATAAGACACAAAAGTCGAAAACACGTCAGAAGTGTCAATCTTAACAAATTTTCGAACAATTTGATATTCACATTGACGTATGACACTCCTTTCACCCCTTGGTTACATGCGTTGTAACGGTTTATTAGAGTAGATGACGTACAAGAAGGCAATTTACGTACATACATTATGTAAAGAATGTATATACACACTAAATAATATAAGTATGTACACATATGTACATAATTAACAATGCGTGGTAATGAGTGGCTCGGAAGTATATGTATGTAGATTTACCGTACTGAAGAGCCATTTATCACTGGTGAATGTAATGGGAAAACTGGGAATGATGAGATGACAGTACCAAGTGGTAAAAAATTTAATCGGGAGAAATAAATTACTCTAGCTGATATTTAAGAGTGTAGTAAATATATACTGCATCCGTATTTACATATGTACATATCAGAGGTCGACGCCGACGACGCCTCCGACCATACGCCGCCGCCGCCAAAAAATTTGATTTCCTATACCTTCAATAATGCGATGCCGCCCCGCGCCGCCGACGCCGCCGAAAAATCACCAGAAACTGGCGCCGCCGCCGCCGAAAATTTGTCGGCGTCAACCTCTGGTACATATGCACTGCTTCATTACACATACCGCGAAGGGATTCGATGAGTAATTGTACTCAACTTAGGTCGTACATAGTTGCCGTAAAAACTGTTTATATACATAAATAGAAAATTTCGAAATGGTATGTGTAATGCAGGAATACAGTCATATAAAACAAAGCACCTAAATACTTCTATTCTACCCTTTTTTTATTTATAACATTTGTTATTTCTGAGAAATACTTTGGAGAGTATGGTATTTCTGAATAGGAATAAATGAAACCATTATCACTCAACCCTTTTCTACACAACCCAGCCCTTCAATTTCAACGTTTTAGTCTCCAGCTTACTCTCCGTTCAGCAAAGACTACCCAATCCGGCAGTTTTACAAATTTAAAAATTTTACTAAAAAATTAAGCTTAAGTTCAAAGATTTTTTAAAACTATTCTGCACAATTTAATTGACTTAAAAGCACTCATTTAATTAACCTAACGACATGGAATCAATCTTTTCGAACGAATTGGTAAGTAAACTAATTCACATGTTTAATTTTATAGTTTAGTACTCAATTACAAATTTGTAAATAATTTCAAATAATTTTGGAGATAATGGAAAAAATCGCGACGTATCTAACCCTCCCGGAATTGAAACGGGTTCGCCTGCTCTTTCCTGGCATTAGTGACAGCGTGGCAAGGATAATTTTGCGGAGATCGGTGGTGACCGTGCCCGTTTGGCGTGATGATGATTGCGAATTCTGGATTGACAAGGAGATAACGACATGGCTAATTTCCGTGGTGGTGAAGCGAGCCAGATTGTCCTTGAGTAAAAAGACGCGAGAAAACGTGCGTGGGATGAAGGCGATAGAGTTTTTGCAGCAGGTTGGTTTTAAATTATGCAAAATTTTCGGCTTTGTTGCAACCACGTGTTTTTTGTTTCCTGTTTTTGATCTCAATGTAACACTTTACATATCTAAATATGCACATATGTATTACCAGATTTTCGCGTAATATTTTTTTACAAATTTTTATCATGATTTTATGTGTTTCATTAAAAGCGGTCCTCCGGAAGTGGCAAATATTTTAATTTATCCCATTTCGTATGCAATTAAGAAAAAGGATTATACATAAATCAACATGCATTAAATACAACTTTTTTCAGTTGCACGAAATCAAGTTTTTCTTGTAACTTTTTTCTAGGAAATTTATAAAATTTATAATTCTGAAATTCTATCATTCATTTACCAACAGATAAAAGACGATATAATCGAACTGGAGTTGACCGCTAAGTATCCTCTTCGCACGAAACTTGAACTCCTCCAACTCCCACGGATGCCGTCCCTCCAAATTTTCAGAAATAAGGCTATCGAAATTTTCAAAGTTGAACGTTTCCTAAATCCAACCAACTTTCCAAAAGTGGAAACCATTTTACTCCGCTCGAGTAAAAAGTCTTCAGGCAGTTTAAACCAACTCATTTTTGCCTTAAGCATCCCAATGCCGACAGTTTTGCGACTCCATCTCTACGGAATAACTGACTACGATCTGTTTTCAAAAATTTGCCAACTTTTTGAGAACGTGAAAGAATTTCGTATTGGGACTGGACCACGAAGAGGGCCCAATTTCTGGCCGGATGACAGCATACCGCAGTTGTTTTTGTCTTTCAGTGAATTTCGAGGATTGGAAACTTTAAAGGTCAATCTCCGGGAAAAATCCAACTTTTCCACTCTGACCAGAGCACTTGACTCAATTTCGGTACCGGGTAAGTTCAAATTGTCGTAATGTTGTAAATTTTATGAATTTTGTTCAGTAAAAATCAAAGAATTCGTGGAAAATTTGCCTGTCAAATTGTAAAATCCGAAACAAATTTGCCAAACTTCAAATTTTGAAAGTTGTAAAATTTGAAAAAAATATTTACTAGATTTGCACAGCTAAATCTTATTTGCCAAGGTGTTTCAAACCTAGTAAATTTTGATCGTTCCATCAAATTAAATGTGTTAAATTTGTATATGTAATTTCATGGTCCATAGGTTTCATTGTACTTTTTAGTTTACCAGTTTTTGTTGAATTTATGCTTTGCAAGTATCGATTGTACTGGCAATTTTCAAATTTTAATTTTCAAAAAACGAGGAGAAACTGTGGAGTCAAATTCAGTTCGAGCTTTAATTTTTTAAACGGGAAAAAGTTTAAATTCAGGAATTGTTTGAGGAGTTTTCATACATAATTCGAAAAATTCCAATATATTTGTGCCTCTGAACATTATTTTTTAAACTTAGGACTCAAGGAATTCCAACTTACCGTGGGGATGACGCAGGCCGATTTCAGCCTGATGCAACCAGCGATCTTTTTTCACGTTCGGGACGTATTTTTCCATTCTCGCTCCGCCTTCGGAAGAATTCCCAGCCTAAAGACGATCGAGGTCGGATTTGATGTTGTTTGCCATCGGACTACTAAGCGAATAAAATTATTCAGTGACACGAGATAATTGCGACACGTTGTGACGATGTATGTAAATATTTAAATATGGTCTACCTAACAATAATTGAGACAAATACGTACACTCTTAAAAATAATGTTACCTTTTTAAGCAGTAAATGCACTCTGAATTTCGTATTAAATAAACTCAATAAACTCCTTCGTTTATTTTGCCCTTGATCAAGTTAATGTTGCTCTGGATTTAGAATACATACATACTTTCAAAAGTGTAACATTATTTTTAAGAGTATACGATGGAGTGTTTTCCGTACTAATTATTTAAAACTACAGAAAATTTCCAGCCGTTCTCACAACTAAATATGCAACGTATCACTTTTTCCACAAAATAATAAAAATCTTTCTCTCCACCAGAGCCGTGTTACGAACTCGCTTCACATTACAGAAAAAGTCACCTGACTTTCCATAGTGCATGTATCATTGATACAGGTTTCCGTCTAGGCTATTTTTTTCTAAATAAAGTTCACAGCGTAAAATTTGATGTTTTCTGTTTGCATAATTGCATATATTTATTTACATATACTTGTGTGAACATGGGGATACACATTATGCACACAAAAAAATAACGCCATTTGTAACCTTTGAAAATTTTGAAATGTTCAGTAGAATAAAATAACAGTAAATACAAGACATAACGATTTCTCAATTAAGAATGTAATATTCAATTTATCCTGCTAGTTACATACAAACATATAATCATTCATTCGCCTTCACTGAAAATATTCACAACGCATCCAAAAATAGGCAATGTGAATGTGAGATTTATGCAATAATCGCATCATAGCATCCCCTGAACTCTTACTTGTCCTGAAATTTTTTGGCAAATTTTCCAAAACGATTTTGGAAATGTTTTTCTATGTAAGGGAAAACGTCGTGTCCGGGAAGTACACACAATCGCGTGGAACAGGTCCGCCGAACACTTTACTTTTGAGTTCGGACCATAAACTTTAATTTCGGTTTGTGTTCCTGACTGATATCGATTCACACCCCTTTCCCAACATGATAAACCACCGTCTCTAGAAAATGCAAGTGGTAACATTTGAAATGTGGGCTGGTGCTCCACCTTGTTGCGAATTTGAAAAAGGTAGCTTACAGAGTCTCCATCGTATCAAAGTGCACTGGCAGGATTAGGTCATGGTAAATCTGTCCGATCAGATTTTGACCAGCAAAAGTTACGTTCACTTCGGTCACGTTTTGATAGCAGAACCAACTACAAATCGCTAAAGGTACACTCTTAGGCAACTGGTATTGAATCATTACGAATTATTACCGGACGGAGTACATAGATGACTCTACCGCCATCGGTAATACCGATCGTTACGGCGTAGTAATGTTGTGGTAATGAAATCGCTACCACTCAGAATCAAACTATAACTAATCCGGTAAGGAATTATTAACAATTCAATACCAGTACGAAGTACATATGTGACTCTACCGGATGCTTTACAGTGTAGTGATTTTTTGGAAGCTTCTTCTCGGGAACCTCATTTCTCTGCATAATTCGATACCTCGTATAGTGATGACAATTCAATCCGATCTTTTGCGTACACAAAATATCCCCAGTTAAACAGCCGTTTTGCCCAAGAACGTCGCCAAATTTTATTTGACGTTGAATGGTTTTGTCCGAAAATACATACGTTGCTGTGGGACTCAAAGGTTTTTACATGATTCTGGATAATGAAACGACAGATCTCCTACCCAAATCGTTAAAATCGATCTGTTAGATTTATGCAGGGTCACTGCACGTTTTATTGTCCACCTACCAGATTTTCGGTATATTATTTTCAAAATGGGACTTATGGCCGAGGATATGCAGAGCAATCCAAGACGAATTGCGTCTCTGGATAGGTTCCGGTTCTCCACAACTTGACGGTATGTCAGGGAAATGTTCGAGTAATTTCTGAAGCGGATTCTCCTTCTTCAAAACGTGGGGTTGTTTTTATAATCCTTTCCACGAATTAGGATAAACGTCTGAGGACGTTGTCACAAACAATTAATACCAATATTAATACAACAACAAAAAGCTCCAGTAATTTCTTTGCGCAGACGGGAAGGTTTTTTGAGGTGTTCAGAAATTAAATCAGCACTACGAATTTACTGCGACAGAACTTTCCATTCCAGTGAACGTTAAAATGAGTCAAAAAAATTTGACGTCGGCTTTGAAACCTTTGTTTTTTTTAAGTGATAACTCGATTCCTCATGCGAAAAGGGTGAAAAATATGTTATGACAGTGAAAATTTTCGGCGACGAGTAGGTCATCTCAAAAATTAAGGTCAACCAGGTTTCCATAATCCTTTTTGGACTCTTATCCAGTATAAACCCCTCCCTCCCGTATCCAGCAATGTTAATTTCACTGCTTCAGTCGCTGCTGATTTTCAAATATGATATCTGAAGAACAAAATTTTTCATGGCTTGGTGTTTTCTGGTGCCCACGTTTGCAAATATACTAGCCCCGCTCATACATAGTGGAGATTTCAGCAAGTGGGTAGAAGTGGGTGAAGAATTCGGAAGTTCAAGATAATTAGTGGGAGTTTAGCCATTTTGAAGTCAGAATCTCAAATTTAAATGTTATTATGACAACATTTTCGGGCATTGGACCTTTTACCAAGAAATGTAATAAAAAATATAGTAGATATACCCATAGTATAATGGCCCTACTCACGTGTTTAGTATCACAACTCATTTAGCAAACTTGCGAAAATCGAAAAACTTGTGTCCTGAGGGGATTCACAAATTTCGCATGTCTCAAAAATCTACTAAAACTTCCATTTTGCTATTGTTTCCAAGGATTTATGCAATTTCTCTTGTTGAAGATGGTAAGAATGGGTTTACGAAATAATTCTGCGAAATAATAACACCCAATTGCTTAATAAATTTGAAAAATCCCATGGTTTTCCAGCAAAAATTTTGTTAAATCTCACGCAAAACTTCGCCAGTTAAACTCAATTTTCCAGATATCGGAAGGGTTACGTGAGTGTGTTCAGTATAATAGAAATATATTATAAACGAAATATATTATATTTAAACTATATATATTATATTTAATTTATATATAAACTTCGAAATATATTATATTTAATTCGACTGCCTACAGGTATATAGTGTATACAGGTTTTTTAACAGTAATTTTTAACGCAGAAATTACCTGCAAAAAAATAAAAAGACGGTTATACCAGGATTCGAACATAGAAACTAAAAAGCTTAATCCGGCGAGTTTATCCATCCGCCCCATTACCCAACTATTGACGTAACCCGGATCATGGAATGGTTTACGCAACATTTAGCCATTTAATGTCACCGAATGAAATTATAATTCATTCTAATGCATACAAATTTGTAATACATATTTGCAAGTCGTCAATTATGTCGAAAATATCATTACATATGATATTTTCGACATAATTGACGACTTGACATACTTTTTTTAATGAAAAAAGCAGAAAACATTGCCACGCATTTTGTACACTCACACCCATATTTTAACTAATTACAATAAACTTATTAGCACCTACTCCACCCTCTCATTTTTCTTCAAACTTTATTAAAACGTCTCAAACAAGGCAATTGTCTCATCTAAATTTCGTAACTAAACTATAAACTAAGTAAGTTGAAAAAGGATGGACAAAGCCCAATTACGAAATGATGACTAATTCGAATATTTCATTATCTAAAACATTTTAAATAAGTACGATAGTAATTATTTATCCGGGTACAAATTTTAAAACAAATGACAAAAACGAGAAGGAAGAATTCAATTAAATTGAATATCATGCTTATTTAAGGATATTCACCAGCACAACAATCTATTTATTGCAAGCATGCATGTGCATACATTCATCTAATTATGTAGCTTATCGCTGATCTAGCCTCGATAACATGGTGGGGGAGGAGGAGGAGAATTAAAAATTGGCAAAGAACGAGACAGCAAAAAAAATCGAGCGAGACACGGAGATGAAAAAAAAACTGTCTAGACAGTGGATGACCCACGGTCCAGCTCGCCTCTCTTCATCTTCTTCACCGCATCTCACTGCCGGCAGCCAGTGGACGACTTGAAAAAAAGAACAGTTTTTTCATCAGCTGCAACGAATTTTAACTTTTTTTCTTGCTTCGGGATTTGTGTGTGCTTTTTTGATTATATCGAATTATATTTCGAACTAATAGTTCTCGAACATACTTTCCAAGTTGACCACACGTGTGCCAGTTATCGGTCCTCTCCACTCCCACTCCTCTCAATCTAACCGTGCATGCTCAAAGAAGTGTAAGTTAACTATACTAACAATTAAAAATACTAATTTAATTTATGTACACGGGTGGCGAAATTAACTTCAATACTAAAATACAAAATATGTATGTATTTCTTGTGGTGAATGGGTTTACTAATCTAAATCAAACCGCTTGAATTTAACCCGATTTCACAAAATGTTTTTAAAATTGTTCGTTCAAAAATGTTGTCCTGAAATTTTGAAGACTTTTATACTTCTAAAATTAATTAGAATTTGAAATGGGCGTGCGGATTGTTCAGTTTAAAGTATGCAAAACACCTGGAATTTTTGAAAGTTGAAAGTTTCTGAAAAGTATGATGTAATTCTGAGCTAATTTTTGAAATCGGGTTAAAATTCGAGAAGTAAAACTGCTTTGAATAATCCTGGGTTTGGCTGAAAGTTAGCTTTAAATTCTGGAAAATCAATGCGAATTAAAGCATGGCATGTGACCCAGAAGAGCGAACAATTTGACACTAAAACTATGTATGCATGTAGAGTAGGCTGAAATTTTGGCAGGAAGGTACAACAGTAAATTACAAAAAAATGAAATGCAATGAAATGTAAATTACAAAATTGTATGCAGTAAATTGTTAGGAGATCACACATGTCAAAGTTGACGTTATTGATTCTGTGAATCATTTTATTCAGACAAAATTTATTTCGTTTTTTAATTTACACATGTCCATCTACCCTTGCGAATTTTCCCGGAAAGTTGCAAGGTTTACAAAATTCGCATGCAATTTTGGCTTGAAACTACCAGCCGCGTCAGATCAAGCAGTGCCCGTAAATTCTACTAAATCAATTTTATTAGTTTACCGAGTTTTCAAACCACGTTAATTTAGTGGGTAATCAAAAATTACATATGTATGCAGCAATATTTGGGCAGATATTTCTTAAAACATTACGAAGTTTACAAAGCGCTGATTTTAATTGATTCGGTCTGCTCATACAGTATTTTGGGGCGAACTAAATGCAAAACTATGCAGGTTACACAGCTTGTACGTGCAGTGTAGCTTTGTATACTGCGTAAGTTACACAAGTGGATTTCATCTCGTTAACGAATGTGATATGTACAGGGAAATTGAATTGCTCGCCTGATAAATACAAATGTATGTGTAGGTTCGATTCGTCAAATTACTCTTGGGGGACGTTGGTAAATTTCGCAACGCAAAAAGGGGCTGATCGGTGGTCAGGGCTCAATGATATCGAGCATTTGCAAGTTTTATAAACCCGTCGCTCTCCTATCCTAAAATGCTAATGTCCCCTCGTCTTCTGCGGCCACTGCAAGTACATATTTAAATTTAGGTATATTTGGCCTTTCGGGAAATGTATCTCACAAGGAAACATACCGAGGTGTCCAACGAAAAAAAAAACTTCGTGGATAATTTTTTTTGAACTTTGCAATATTTTTTACTGGATGCGGCATGCGTTTTGAAGAAGAATGAGCTTTGGTCGGACGGTGTACGATTTTTTTGGCGCCCACAGGAATTGTTCGCCCAGGACAGGTTGGAAGTCTAAAATCGCCGCCTTGGCGAAAATTAAAAAACTGAAATATACGTTTGCATATCCCGACCCTCTATATGCAAACGTATATTTCAGTTTTTTAATTTTCGCCAAGGCGGCGATTTTAGACCTCCAACCTCTCCTGGGCGAAAAATTCCTGTGGGCGCCAAAAAAAATCGTACACCGTCCGACCAAAGCTCATTCTTCTTCAAAACGCATGCCGCATCCAGTAAAAAATATTGCAAAGTTCAAAAAAAATTATCCACGAAGTTTTTTTTTCTACGCCTCAAATTTTTTTAGAAAAATAATCCTGACCTTTGACCTATCTGCGACATTAAAAATCTGCGACGAGGAAATTGTCGGCAGATAGTTTTGACATTTTTGTACGGAGTTTCAAAGTTGAAATATTACGGCATCATGTTGAGATAAAAAATATGTCATCGTAGCTATACTTTTGTTACATACTGTACTTCATGAGCAAAAACATGGTGTCAACCGAAAATTGCGTGATTTTTTGGCGAATTACGATATTTTTATAAGATAGAAATATAGTTTTTATGGGAAACCTTCCTGCTATCAAATTTCTTGACATTTTGACGATCTTAACACGAATTGATATAGCCCGGATCCCTCAGGTCACGCAAATCTAGGTCAAAGATCAAAATATCGTTCCCTTTCGACAAGCCTAAAGTCATATATTTTTGAGTAGCTGCTGGCCTTAGGAATAAAAATTAGTATCACACTTGGGGCCTGCGGTCAACTACTGACCTCTCAAGGGAGCTTGAAAGATCAATAAATTTCTGATAAATGACAACCGTAAATCGTAATTATTCCTGCAATTAATTTTAGACGATTTAGAATTAATGTTTCAAACTATGACACCACTTTTTCTCACATTTTTCTCCAGGTGTGATCAAGACCGGAAAAAATGGGCAATATTATTTTCACACCGGCTTTATACCAAAAATACAACGAACAAGTAAGTGTGATAATATATCAATTACCTATGCTTTTATATCGTTACAAATATGCCCCGGAATTATAATTTAATTTACTGCAGTTACTTACCCATTCGAAATATTAATGCCATGAATTTTGTTTTATTAGAATCGCATCTATGAAGGAAACCTAGTCGAAAAGCTGGGCAATTGTGGCTTTAATTGGTCCATACCGGTGGGATTGCTTTTGACATGTTTGGCGTGGGACCTGATGTACATTCTGTACACTGCGATCGCGTTTGTGCTCTTCTACATCGTACGAATTCTAGGACGTTGGATGAATCCCACCTACAGGGAGTTTATGAACGTTTTGGATCGAGCCCACAGAACTCCTAACATCGCAACTATGGAGGAGCTTCGAAACTATGACTTCCAATTCAAGTATTGGCCCGTGTCATACAATTCTATCCGCAGGGGAGAACTATATGAACCGCCTTTCTCGGTCGGATGGTTGTTTGGCTGGCTTTTGGCACACTCAATCGGCGTCTATATCCTGGAATTTTTTTGGGATGGTGGCATTTAAGATTCCTCCGAGTAGGTGACATTTCAAATTCTTACGGATATGTCAGAATTGATTTCTCGGTATTAAAGTTGATACAGCTTGGTTTTAAAATTATATCGGTCCATGAAAATTTACTACTGATATGGTAGAACTTTAACACCGTGCTATTACTACGTCATATGTAAATTGATCCCCAGGATTATGTTTCCTTGCCCAAAACTATTTTTCCCAAGACAAGTACGAAATGGTGGAAAAAAATGGAGAAATATTTGCAGCGCTTGTTTTTATTTCTGGGGAAAGTTATCTTATAAATGCGTACATACATACATATGTACATGTACATATATGCATGTACATAAACATACATATATGTACATGTACATATGTATGTATGCACATATGTATTTAATGTGCAAACTTTTTAACTTCGCCGTATTATTTATCAATATCACTTATTATTTACGGTATTATTTTCATACTGGATTTTTAAGTGTAGTAAATTTAACTTTGTCCTGTGTCACTTTGCCCAATTTTAAAATGATTTTTCTATAAATTTTTTGAGAGCGTGCTTATATGCAAAGTCATAGTTCTGTGAAAATATGTGTGTAATACGTATTTATTTTTGTAGAATGAGAGGGCCAACCTGATTGTAGCTTATAATGCAGTTCGATCAAAAATTGTTACCGCACAGGGAGATATGATCGACACTCTTTTCTTCGATAGGAGAAGGTAATTTACACTGCACGTTTAATTATTGGTGGATAATCAATGCTAGTTTTTACCAACCTTTTTGTCAGTTTAATTTGATTATAATTAGGATAATTGTCACTTTTATCCCGAGAAATTTCTCACACATAAACATTTCATAATTCATTCAACTCTCTGCATGAATTTCTGTAATCAGTGACAATTCAAGAAGTCTAACCAAAATCCAGCAATCATAATTATCCAATATGTACATATTTGGGAGAAAACTCTAGCTCTATAAATGATAGCAATTATGCAATATTTTTCAAAGGGTGCAACACTGACTTGCATTGTTACTTAATTTCTACATGACTAATTTTTTTTCTCTGATTTATGTACATATGCAGAGTTTTACACAGTCGAACGGGCAAAACGCTGGTTATCTGTGTAGAAGGAAACGCCTCGTTTGCGGAGAATGGGCTGAACCAAACAGCTATTGCGAACGGATATTCCGTGCTGTCTTACAATCGCCCGGGATTTGTCGAGTCGACAGTAGGTTTTTTCATAAATTTTTTATTTTCCTGATTTTGCGGACATATATTAAATATTTGTATTTCTTCAGGGACTACCGTATCAAATTAACGAGGTCGACGCGGCCGAAGGAGTGTATGATTTCGCGAGACAGAGTTTTAAATTCAACGCGAATAAAATTCTAATATATGGTTGGAGCATCGGAGGTTATGCCGCAGCCCATTTGGCGTCTCACTACCAAAACGTCAAAGGCCTGGTGGGTAATCTTATTTAATATTAATGATTCTAATTAAATTTGCAAATTTGACGATAATTCTTTGGATTTTGCAGATGCTGGATGGCACTTTTGACGAGTTATTGGAGGTCGCTTTGCAAGTGGCCCCATGGTACATGTCAAAACTTGGTTAGTTTAATTTAATTATGATCAACTTCTCAATTCTATTTATTTATCAATTTTTACTGACTTACATATACATATTTTGCTTATCTTACATATTTTAATACGACAAAGTTTTCATATTTAATAATACGAAGTAGTACACTACTACATAATATGTAAATAATATTTTCGTATATGTAGTATGTAGAATCCTTTCCTTAATTTTTGATAATTATTTTGAAATTAGATGAGATATTGACAAATGCATACGTATCAAATTTTTAGGAAAACTAAAATTCAAAATTATGGAATATGTAGCATCTTAGGTACTTTCAATTTAGATGGAAATTGAATTGTTAGGCTACAAATTATTTTTTCAGAATTTTATTTCATGCAAAATTTTCATAAATAATTCCAAATTTTTCTAAATGTTTTCAGATAAATCTTTAAAAATATTTATTTCAATAATGAAATTTACTTTTGTTTATTCGGTCGACATTTATAGACATTTTTCCAAAATTATTCTTTTAAACACAACAGATTAGCCACTGAAACATGCAATGTTTAAGTTTTATTTTATAAAAAAATACATGAATTAATATTATTACTTTTAATTGTGTATAGTACGGGTTACCATTGGCCACCATTTCAACCTAAATGTGGTTGCGGAGCTGCTTGGCTACGACGGCCCGTTGCGAATTTTCAGACGAACCAACGACCAAATTATGGCACTACCTGGAATAACCGTTTCAGAAAATAGGGCTAATGTTCTGCTCACCGTCCATCTGAGGCAAAAATATCCTTTACTCTTTGACAACCAAATTTCTACGGAAGCGTTTAGAGCCTGGTTGAATCAGCGACATGTAAAGAGTAAGACCATGTACTATTTTGAAAATTTTTATATTTAAAGGTTTCAACAACACTTCGGCAAGAAATATGTAAATATTGTAATAATTTGTACATTTTTTTTTATTCTCAGCGGGAGGACAATTAATTACCATTCTGAATAAGCCCATCATAATTCCCATCAAATATAACAACATGACGGATCTTGAAAAATCCACCCTCTTGATAAAGATCGTGAGTTTCTTTGCTTGTTGCTAGATTTAGTTATAATCTAGTAAATTTGCCACTTTTTTATTCTTCAGGCCGAGAAGACTTTGGTTGATTTTGACGCTGATCACAACGATTATCTTCCAAACCAATTCTTTCTTCGACCCTGGGCGCCAGCGCCATGAAGATTTTACAAACGGTCTCATCTAAGCTGAAAGATGCCAAATTCACCGTTACGATTATGTACTAATTGTTTTGTATTTTTGTCAAGTTCTTCATTATTGTTATTCGTCGTGATTATTATCAGTTCTATTTATAATGGCTAGTTCTAAAATTAATTCAAATCTTCACCGGATCGCGAGAAATTCACTCCCTTTTAAAAATTTCTGTCATGCAAGTACTGTTAACTGTAGAACTTTCACTAATTTACTAATCAAAGAACCAGGTTAGATACCGTACTTGTCCCCAAGTTATGATTTCGTAGGTCAACACACGACAAATGAACAATAGTAGTCGTTAGTTTAAAATTAGGTTTTTGCAATTACATTTGGGTAGCTTTCAATGCGATGACGCCTTCGGTCTAGCTGCGAGTTTGACGAGATCACGATAATTACGTAGCCTTAGATAACTAATTAAACACACGCGTCAGGATTTTACATAATGCGAAGTTTCAACAAAGTAATGATGGTCTACGTGAATGAGAATGCATTTTTATTGTGAGATTGTTCTCGCGAGGAAGAAAATGCCACGGTAAAAATAGAAATTACGGATTGATCCGGTCATAATTTCGTTTAAACTGAGAATTATGGAAAACCTTGAGGCATATGTTTAACTATTTATGTAAGGTTACATAATTATCGTTATTTCGTAAAAATCGGGGCGAGACTTCGGGCGTTATTATTAATTCAACTAAAAATTAAATATCAGTTAGGTTTTTAAATGTATGTACATACATATGTAAATCAATGTTCCGTAAGCAATATCAGTTTAGTAAAGTTAGAAACGAATGGCTCCTAGTATTATGTTAAATTTCTATTATTACTCTGTACTGAGAAAGTTTGCCCAAGAATTTTGTATGATATCCGTGAATATTGCGAATTATCAATTAGAAAAAAACATGTTTTATTCGTTTGTATCAACTTTTGTTACAAATACATGTGTATATGAAAATAAGGTTTTGTACATACATACTTCATACTAGAACGTACATATTTTAAAACTGATTTTACTATAATTAAATTAGAGTAAAAATATATTTATGTTTATACATCATGCAGTTTATATATTATCTATGTACGAATTAAATTATTCGAATTACAAAAAACACGAGGGCAAACTTACTACATCCAATTAATTTGAAGCTCCTTAATCCGCAGACTAATCATTAATAATGACGAGAGGAAAAGACAAATGTCAACTGGTTAAGGTAGATTCTGTTACCTTAAATAACCTCCTTATATGCAAAATATTTCTCACTCAAAAACCCTTTCAACAAAAATCTTTTCTCCAAAATCCCAGAAAATTTCAGTTTACTCAATACCATCAGCACAACTTATTTAATTAAAATTTTTTCAATGATCAAAGCTTCGTAAAAATAATTTTGTACATGTCTAAAAATCTTCAATTGTGTAATATGTGGTGACAAAACTCCCTCGTTTGAAGAACATATAATAATTAACAAAATCAGATAGAAATTAGAATTTTTGCAGGATTTTAAACTCGAGTTTTCGTTTTTTCAAGCTTGAGTGGGTGTGACGGACGAAAATGGGGTCGTTAGCTAAAACCTAGTGGGGGGTTAGGGAGGTCAACTTAAATCAAAACATTTTTAACGTCAATCAATACGAAATTAATTTTTAGTAACATTTTAAACTGACGAAAACCCGGATTTTCCAGTTTTTTTATCATACCAGGGGGCGTGGTTGGCCCAAATGACCCCACTTGGTCAAACCCTATTACACAAGTGTAGTACTACTTCAGTACTACAACATATCCAAAGGACGTCCGCCTGGGTCAATCCCACGCTGAATGTGACCATGCGACCTGTCCCATTGGATAACGAGATGACCTCTCAAAGAACGCTTCAACGCTTAAACAGACAGCAGATGTCACTTCCGGTCAAAAATTATCAAAAAACTACTAAAATTTATGCTCTACATATATGTGGAGAAGCCCACGTCGAAAAAAAATTGAAAAATTGGTAATAGATAATTTCGAAATACCTATTTCTTGACCAAAAACAGGGTGCAAAGCGAAAGTTGGTCCGATTGCCTGTTGTATTTGCCAAAACCTACAAGTTTCTAACGACCAATTTTTTGCGAACCCCGCCTGGGGGATTTTAGGTAACAAATTTCAAGGTCTACAAGTTTTGGAACCTTTTTTTGAAAACCACTCCCATCCGGGGGTGTGGTCAACGGTGCCTAATTTCTTTATCACGTTACCCCATCAAGTGGGGTGTCATTTCAAAGCTCTCATCAAGGTCTATATAATTCCGAATAACATGAGGATAGTACGGCCACACCCAAGGTCAGGAGATGTGGTCAAAACAGAAATTTTTATATTTCGATTTTCATGATTTTTTCTTCATTTAACGAGGGGCGAAAACATGCCCATTCTTCCATTCCTTCATTTTGTAAAATAAACCGTCACAACGAATGTAACCAAGGGGTGAAAGAAGTGTGTTATCTGTATTTCAATTCAAATTGATGCATGTATGCAATTTGACCTTTAAATGACATTTCATGACCTTTTGACCTTGATGGGTGTGACCTACAGTGCCCATCTTCGAACTCGTCCTCTCTATTGACGTTAGGAGTTTACGTTCAAAATTTCAAGTGTCTATGTCTTTTCGTTCAAAAGTTATCGGAGCTACGCACAGACAGACGGACGGACGGACGGACAGACAGACGGACATAACGATCTTATAAAGGGCTTTCACCCCTTAATAATTTTGACCAAAAATTTTTTAGATTTCAGAATTATTGAGAAATGAGCTTGAACTTGTAGCGAATAATTACGGGTAACTTCAATAATAAATAATTATTGAATGAGGAAATTCAATTCAGCTTCCTGTTCAATTTATTTTAAGCAATTTACATAGTTGTATTTTTTAAATTATATCACTTTCACTCACATTTTGTTGGCCAAGATACTTTAGCATTATATTACAAATAGAATACAGGACACACAATTTATTTTGTATCTTGTATCTTGAGAATTTATTTAAATATATTTACTTTGAAATACCAGTCAAGTAAGCTACATATATACAAGATACCAAATGCTTTTCTAGTGCAAAACTGGAAAACTCGCATGCATTGTATCATTAAAACTTAGAATAACAAAAATTAAAATTGAGCCATGTTCGTTTAGAATTACTTGCTTGTATTAAATTAGAAATAAATTCTGTGTAAAATTCTACAGAATTCCGTGATCAGAACTCAAAATGTTCTACGGTTTCTATAAAATTTATGTATGTATATGTACATATTTACTTCGTAACTAATTTTACGCATGCTAATAAAATCTTGGGCTTTGGAAAAGTATCAAAAAATTGAAATAATGGGAAAAATTACATCTTGGAATCGTATGAAATGTGATGATGCATTTCTCTTTGTTTAGCTGGAGGAAATTCAGTCTCACTATCACTTCTGCTCAAATTCCTTCATTCCTTGTCAACATTTTCATCCGTTTTTGCCTGCAAAGTTCAAAGTTAATTACCTTTTGGTGATAACAGTTAACTAATTATAAATTTATGGTGGTGAGTGCAGTGGACAAATTGCTCAACTTCAAGGCCTATAATTTAAATGTAAGTATTTCCAGCTTTTAAAGATTATTCATAACTTCTGATTGGTTGAAGACGTGACAAGTTTATTTATATAATTTTTCAGTGACAAATTGCCACTGATAAATACATCACGCCATTTTGTAAATACTATGAAATTGTTACTTAATTTCACACATGCATTGCTAGTTCCACTCACGAAACGCTCAAGATTTGTATAAGTAATAAATATGTAATTTCGTAGTTGTACAGCTAAAAACGACCACATTATACATTATGAATATCCAGCCGTCCGGAAGTCACAACGTCCCCACCGGATTATCGACCGAAAGTGTTGCTCTTCCTCCTCCCCCTAAACCCAGAAAACTCCCTCGACGCCCGACCCCAGAGGACAGAGCGATCATGTTAGAAAAACGAAAGAAGGCCACCCCAGAAATCCTCGGCCCCGTCGACGAGACGGCAGATGGACGAAAAATGCACAAAAATTATGAAGTCGCTTTACAAAATTGGAATTACACCTTCGGCTTTATTACTTGGCCGCAATACACGAATAACTGGAGTCGATTATTAAGATGCATACTAGAGATTTTTAGCACATTTTTATTAATACATTGTTCAAACGTAATAAATAAAGACGTCGAAAATCGTAAAATAAATTACTCGTTATTCCATAATATATTTGCATTACTATTTTTTAAACGTCATTCCCATCATAATAAATATCAAAAAATCAATAAAATTTAAGCAAGTGACAAATAGGTAAATTTGCATATTGAGTTACCGAGGTAACCGTGTTAAGCTAGCTTATCCTCCCTGGATAAGGAATATATTGTATGCATATGTATGTACATATCTATTATGCCTTAGCTCTGCACTTTCCCCTGACTGGTAGCCCAGCGGAGTTGACACCGCTACTATATGCATCTACATAAATATAAAGCTTGAGCGTTCAACCACATTCCTACCGGGCTATGTAGCAGCCGTGCGGCGTTGATACCGCAACTTTGTGCCACAGCGTGAGAGTAGGAGACGGTTTACTCGGGTAGGCTAACGTGAAGATTATTAACCCGAGCAAAAATTCGCTCACGTTTTCTATATGGATGAAAAATCATCATTTCACAAATAAAATTTCCACTTTATTGAATTTATACCCAGTACTCGCTCTATTCCTGTTACAAGATTTCCCGGGTAAATTAAGCAGGGAACGAATTTTTTTAGAAAGTTGTGCTATTTTTTATGGAAATCTCCATGCTTTTGTCTATCAGAAACCTTGCTTCCAAGTTTTTTGTGACCTAAGGTTCCAAAGTGACAGACCAGGAGAAACAACGTGTTGCAATGTTTCAACAACATTTTGGCAAACAAAAAAAATCGTCATTTTTCAATTGTTAAACAAAAATCGGCATT